CAGTGAAATGGGAGGGAGTTTGATGTGCTCAGTAGATGGTGCTGGCCGTGCTGGTAACTGCATTTGTGCAGAACAGCTGAGGAAAATACACGTGTTTACCCACTGGGAGCTTTTAAAAAACCACGATTAATAATTAATAAATTAAGAGGAAGCCGTCTGCTTGCTGAGAGAGGAGGGGGAGGACATGTTTATGTGCTCCATGCTAAATGCAGTTTGGGTGAATGGGCTGCAGAACTCTCCTTGTGCCAGCTCACAGGAGTGAGCCTTGCAGCATCACTGGGGTTAAACACTGCCTGCTGCAGCCCCAGTGGCACTGCACTGATAACCATTTATTGCCTTTGAAGCTCTCAGCGAGCCTGCAGAGGGCTGGGGGTGTTATGGGTGTGGGATTTAGCACAGAGATCAGCCAGATCAGCTCCCTGCTCTCTGCAGCACAGAGCGAGAGGGACATCTCTTGGCACGCTGGGGATGTGCTCCCCCAGTGCTCCCTCGTGTGACACCTCCCCATGGCACCTCCACAGGGTTTACTACTCCAGAGATTTATGCATTTTCAGGCTGGGATTTCAGTTTTCCCTGCTCACCTCTGGTTCAGGCAGCAGTAGATGATGGGGTTGTACATTGTGGAGCTCATGGCAAGGAGGAAGACTGCCAGATACACCTGCTGGATGTACTTCTGCTGGTAGATGTCTTCCTTGAAGCTGCCCAGGATGAAGTAGATGTGATAGGGCAGCCAGCAGACAGCAAAAATGATCACCACTACCACCATGGTCTTCACAAACTGGGGAGAACAAAACCAGGGGGTTATTTCTTGGGGCTCTGGGTGATTGGGCCTGCTGGGGCAGTGGGAGCCTGGAATGTAGGCCCAAAGTGCAGAGCATGGAATGTAGGCCTGGAGTGCTGTGGCAAAGAAACCTGGAGTGCTGTGGCAAAGAAACCTGGAGTGCTGTGGCAAAGAAACCTGGACAGCTGTGGGAAGGGAAAGAAGCAAGCCCTGGTGATGCAAACTGGGAGCAGGGAGGGAGGGAGGGAGTGCCCTGGCCATGGAAACTGGAGCAGGGAGGGAGGGAGTGCCCCAGTGATGGGAACAGGGCAGGGAGTTAAACCAAACCTTTCCCAGGGCACAGCAACTGCTTGTGGCTGCACCAGGGGGTGTGCAGGGAAAGAAGATCTCTGCCCTTACACTGAGACTGCTCCATCCTGCCCAGAGTTTCACCCTCGTTTATCCTGTGTGGGTTCTTTTCACTCTCTGCTGGCAGCCAGCCTGCTGCTCTGAGCCTTTCTTCCTTGCAGGCTGCCTGGTGCATGCCATCACCATTTTTTCAACACTTGCAGGCATTTTGGCTCCCTTTACCCTGGACCCAAAATATTGTGTCAACCTTTCAAGCCCAATATGGAACACAAGTTTAGATCTGGAGGTAGCAGAGCTGGTGTGCTGGGAGTAATGATACTTGAGTTTCACTTCTGACCTTTTTTTTGGCATTGACTTGGTGCTCATAGTGGACTCTGTTCAGGTGGCTGCCTGGAGCTGTGCTGCTCCACAGAGTGACTCCTATAATGCTGTATGCCACAAACATCACCATCAGAGGCAGTAAATAGATCAGCACAATCACGGCGATGTGGTACCTGAAAGAGAAGAACAAGCAGGTTTCACAGTCATTGTGGCTCCTGGAGAGCTCTTTCAGAAATTGTCTATGTGTGCTGGCTCCTATCAGTGAAACCACAAAGAGGAAACTTTGCCTATAATTATTGTTACAGGGACTTCTGTAAGCAGCACAATCTCGTCTCTCTGGTGGTGTGATGAGGGGTCCTTGGGCTGGATTTCCTGCTCCTTCAAGGCAGAGTAACATCACTGATCTTTGGGCAGAGGGTTGCACTCCAGAGCCACCTGCACTGAGCTTTGCTATCCCCCTGCAGCCAGGACAGAGAGAGAGAGAGATGGTGGTAAAAGCACAGCCCTTAAATCACAGGTAAGGGGAAGGAATAGCCCAGAAACTACAGAGTAACTCCATGAACGCAGCAGTGGAAAAACCACAGATCTGGGACTGTGGAAGGCATCTGGCTGCTAACAGGGTGCACAAAATGCAGATAGTGAGGGAGGGGTGTTGCCTGTGTTTGTGTAGCTGGCTGTTTGTATTTGTGTGAGCACACACAGTTAATGTACCACCACCATAATTCCTTTATCAAAGGAATTATATATATATATATTATATATACCACCAGCAGGGCACTCAGGCTCTGCTCCAGCTGAAAGCACTGACATCCCCTCAGCTGCATTTTAACCTCAGCCCTTTCCAGCTTTCTGTGCCACCCCACAGACTCCTGCAGTTTGAGCAAGCACCATTTATGGGAAGGGAACAACCTGCTCAGTCCCTTGCAGCACTGCCAAATGAACATAAACACAGGGAAAAGCAGGATTGGGCAGCAGGGCTCTGGCACACACTGCTGGCAGTGACCCCAAAAAGGCAGGGGGTGCAAATGCTCTTTGTCAGTCTGAGCAGGCTCAAGCTAACCTGTCACTAGGAAATAAAAAAAAAACCTCTGTGGTTAAGATTCTTTACTCTGGGTAATCTTCTATATCCTTTATATCCAGTATTTTTCAGGCACTGGCAGTCAGTAGTGCATTTGTTTGTGGTTTAAAAAATTATTATTATTATTATTATTATTTTTACTTCTTTCTGTCATAATCACGCACATCTTTCCTGCAGAAGAGGATTTTCCTATGTTCTGAAGTCTAGAAATCTTGAAAGGTGGGTTTATTCAACTGCAAAGGATTCAGAGGACACACAGTCAGCACAGGAACCCAGCTCTCAATTTTTTTTTCACATTAGTGTGAAAATCAGTTAATTTGGTAAAAGCTGAGTTGAGGAGGCACCCAAAGAGGAAGAGTGAGCAGGGAAAATGTCCCACATGCATGGAGCCTTCAGAGTGGGGTTTGGTTTGAACAACTGTTTGCACTTTGGTAATCGATTTGTTCCTTTTCCTCAGTTCTTCCATTCCTTATTGTATAAATATGTTTTATGTGATAAATTTCTCCAAGGTGCGTGGTGTGCTCTGAGTGATGAGTAATGCCAGCAGATCCCCTGAATGCAGGGTATGGCTTGTTTCATCTATTTGAACAATCTTGCTTTCAGGCAGGAGGAAATAATCTCAGGAACCCTCAGGAGTGCAGATGTGTGCCCAGATAAATATACCTATAAAACCTAGGGATGTTTGAGACATGCTGCTCTCAGGTTTTACTTTCCTTTTACCCCACAAAGAGCAGAATAATTTTAACTAATTACGTGGCTTCTCAGCATTAAAGATACCCAGTTTCCTCCTGCCTGACAGAGGAAGAAAATCCAGAACCTTTGAAACCAGGATGTACTGATTGTTCAGAGACTTTTTGCACTGGATTCTCTTAAATTCCCCAAGCCCTGTATTGTCACAGACATCTTTAATGAAAAATCCTTTCCTTAGGATTTTTCCTCCTGAGAAGCTGAGAGGCCTCAGGAACAAAATGTAAACAATGGTTATCTGCTGCTGTGGAATGCAACAGGTGCATCTGGGATTGGTCTTGTGTGGTTGTTTCTAATTAATGGCCGATCACAGCCAGCTGGCTTGGACACAGGGCCTGAGCCACAAACCTTTGTTATCCTTCTTTCTTTTTCTATTCTTAGCCAGCCTTCTGATGAAACCTTTTCTTCTATTCTATTAGTATAGGTTTAATGTAATATATATCATAAAATAATAAATCAGGCCTTCTGAACCATGGATCAGTCTCTTCCCTCATCCTCAGACCCCTGTGAACACAATCACACTGTATGTAGGGTTTCTGGACATTATAACCAGTTTTCAAAGCAGGGGAGGGTGGCAGGTTCAGCATCACCCACAGCCACCATCACCTGGCAGCTTTTTGCACATTGAATTTAGATGGGCTGCCCCAGCCCCACATTGTGCTGCTCTCTCTCCCAGCACTCCCCACAGCAGCAGCTTGCAGCTGAAATGATTTTCCTGGCTAAGTCTAGGCTGAATTGGGAGTTTCGTGGTGCCTCTTACGCCAGCTGGTGCTTGGATCCCACGTCATCAGGCCAGACCACGATGCACTTCATGGTGCCATTGTCCATGGTGATCTCAGCATAGAAGCACTGGGGGAAGGCCAGCCCGAATGCCACCAGCCAGATGATGCCAATGATGACCCTGGTGCTCCCAGCAGACAGCCTGGGCTTGAAGGGGTGGATGATGGCCACGTACCTGCAACAAACAGGTGCAGTGCTTTTATTATGTATGGTCCTTTGACAGTGAGATTGGCAATCTGCACAACAAACCCAGCAGCAAGTGTAAAAACTCACCAGGAGTCAGTGGGCTTTGTTAATATAGGCATTTTGACAGGTTCTGGGCTGTAAATAATAAGGAACTAAACCCTTTCTGGAGAGAAGGATTGCAAGTCTTAGGGCAGGATTTATGGAACGCACGTGGATGGATGCTGCTGGTGTGAGGAGGAAGCAGCCCTTTGTGTCTTCTGCAGACAGGCTTTGCAAGCACTCCTCTATGGAATTTTTCATTCTATCCCAGAATGGTTTGGGGTTGGAAGGCGCCTTAAAGATTATTAAAATCCCCAGCCATGGGCAGGACACCCTTCACTGTCCTAGGTCACTCCACACCCTGTCCAACCTGGCCTTGAATACTTCCATGGATGAGGCAGCCCCAGCTTCTCTGGGTAACCTGTGCCAGGCCTCACCTCCCTCACAGGGGAAGAATTTCTTCCCAATATCCCATCTAACCCTTCACTCCATCAGTGTGAAGCCATTCCCCCCTTCCTGTCACTCCAGGCCCTTGTAAAAAGCATTCTCACTCTTTTACTTAAATTATTTTTGCAAGTACCTTACCAAAAAAAGCCCAGCCAAAGATGCTTTTCCCTCCTAATTATGTCCATCTCTGGACATAATTAGCACAAGAGCAGACTGGGCTCTTTAACCTGATTTTTTCCCCACTGATTTTGGGCTGTAGAAAATCCTCTGTGAGTGCCTGAGCACTTGTGCTTGCAGAGGAGGGAAGGGCTGCCCCTTTCACCCACACATGCTCAGAGCCCTCAGGCACATCTGACTATTGGATTACTCAGCAGCTCTCTGGTTTTAAGTTTCCTGTGTGGAAATGCACGGTGTGGTAAGGAGCACACAATCAATTATGCATTTCTTGTCGCGCTGTCCCCATTCTTTGTCGTGGTTGCAACAAAGGCAAAGCAGAGTGGAAAATGCCAAAATGCCCATTGCCTCCTGGTTTCCATAGGAAAAATCTGACAAGCTGTGCTGTTTCTTGGCCAGGCTGTTGGTAGGGAGCTCTGCCCAGTGAGCAGTCCAGGGCTTTATTTAGCTATAAAATTCTCATGTCACCTCGCTTTTCTTCAGCTTGCCATAGGCAGTGTGACACAGGGCTCCAGCCTGCTCGGGGAGGAATCCACTGGTGGGTATTCTCCAGAGCAGGAAAAAGCAGCTGGATTTTGGACCCTCTGGTGCACTTTCCAAGCAGGCCATAGGAGACTGTGCTGAGCAGAGTGTGAAAGTGGAGCTGATCAATAAAGCTGCATTTCTGCCTCGAGCACTGAGTGGGAGCAGCTGCTCTGGGAATGGGGAAATGGAGTGATGGAGTGATCCTAAACCCAGCAGTGAGAAATATCACCAGGGCCTTTTCTATGCCTGACAAAAGTGACTTAGAGCCATCACTCCTCAGCCTCCTTCCTTAAAATAAACCACTTCAGAAGATGTTGTTTTTGTAGAAGTTAAACACTGGAGCGGCTGGAGTGGACACAAGTCCTCTTAACAATAAATGGAAGCGTCGAGTTTCCAGGATCTATTTTAAGGCCAACCAGAGAATAGCTAAATATGGTTTGCAGAGAGGTGCCAAGTTCTCTTTCTGATCTGTGCCACGTGACCAAAGGGATTTTGGCTATATAGGTGCTTTCACCAAAAACCCCTAAGGAGCAAGAGTAAGAAGACGTGACAACAGGCTGAAACAGCTTTTTAAAAATATTCTTTGTCAGACAACATGTATAAAATAACAACAATCCTTGATTTACAGCCAGGAGCAGCAAAAGAGTAATTAAAACTGAGCTGCTATTTGTTCTAAATAGGGATTTGCAGTCAGACACAGTCAGACTCCTGAAATTAAAGCTTAAGTAACAGTGACTTGGCAGTTGGATGTGAATTTTATGAAAACAGCCAATTGCCCCAGAAGTCAAACAGAATCACTGTAATTGCTTCCCTCCCTCTCAGAATAAGTCATTCTAATGAACCAGGGGAGCAGACTCTGCCATTTCTAATCTAATTCCCATTATTTCTGCTGGTTTGCTGGACTCACATCAGGATTAGGGCTGCTGATAGCTTCAGCAGCCTGCAGCATATTGTCCTTTTAGATATATCAGTCTCACGGTTTAAAAAAACCCAACAAAGCCATAGAGGAGTTTTCAGTATGATTGGGTAGCAATTTATGATCAATAATGTGGGAACAACAAGAATACCAGCCACTTCCACTCATTAGAGATTCGGGTGTGATTCAGACCAGGGATAAAAATGAGAGGATCATGCCACAATTAGCATCAAACCCCACAGCCTGGCACTGCTTCCACTTTGCTGATAAGGCACCTGACAGAGTGGGGGCCAAACTGTTGCAATGATATTTTTCCATCACTCACAGGGGCTTTTTTGGGACCTCATCCTCTCCACTCGCCTCTTACCTCTCTGCAGCCACAGCTGTCATGGAGTAAATGCTCACAAACACTGCAGTGATGGGGAACCAGTTCTGAAACCTGCAGAACTCCTCACCAAAGTACCAGACGTTGTGGCTGGCATAGATAAAGTTGAAGATGGTGTTGAAGGCAGACATCAGCAGGTCTGAGAGGGCCAAGTTGACGATGAAGTAATTGGTGGCCGTCCTCATCCTCCTGTGAGCCAGGATAATCCAGATGATGGTGGCGTTGCCCAGGATGGATGTGACGACGATGAAGGAGTAGGTGATGGCCCACAGAGCAATCCTCCAGCCTGGCTGGCTGAACTGGGTTGCTGCTGTCCAGTTGCTGCCATTCTCCAGGGAGCCGGCCTGCGAAACGTTGCTGGCGTTAAAAACAGAAAACACGCCCATGGCTTTTCACTTCTTGTGAGTGGGAAAGAAAATCTCCTGGCATCTGCTCATTTCCTTGCCGTGGATGCTGCTGTATGAATTTCCATGCATTTAGGCAAGTGCTGTTAAAAGGACATGGGGATGAGCTGTCTCGTGTCCTTTCCTCCTGTGTTCCGAGTGATGCAGTGCAGTTCCAGGAGGAGATGTACCATGCCAAGGGCCTCCTCCTTCTTCCCTGGCATTTTAACCTATGCCTGAAGAGCAAAAAGCTGAAGAACAACTCTCTTCTTCAAGTTTCTTTTTTCCTCTAAAAAAGGAAGGAAAAAAAGGGAAAGGAAGATGTTTTCCAGGCCAGCAGCAAGCGATATCTTCCTTTGAATTAATTTTAGGGACAAGAGAACATAAACGGAATCCAAAACCCACTTCAATCCAAGCAGAAACTCTTTGTCAGGGCAGCAGTTTTAGGTGTCTGAATCCCCTGCAGTGGGACTGAGGATCTTTGCTGTTCTTTCCCTGTGCAACTATTCAGCACAAGGCAGGAGTTGCACTGGGATAAAATCTCAACAGGTTTTAAGGGGACTTTGAAAGGAGGTGGAGTCTCTTGCAGGGGAAAGCTAAACAACCAATTTGACATCAAATTAAACGTGGCAAAGTGGTATGTGAAGCTTCCCCCCTTGCTGCACTCAGTTTCCAATAACCTCTGCAATGGCCATGCTGCTCTATCAGGATTTTACAGGCTTACATGCAGGGATAGTTAATGCTCCAGTTTCACCAGTCCTGAAATCCTCAAGTTTCCAGGACCCTGCCGGAATTCCCGTGAGCTCTCACGGCAAGAGAGAAACTGTATTTGATACAATTCAGCAAGATCCTTCCTTTGGGATGGCTGCATCTCCTTCCCCAGTGTGAAAAAAGCATGTATTTTATGATTGGCTTTTCGCAAATATTAATATGAATATTATATGTGTTGTGTTAGAAAGTAATGCTGTATTAATTTTCTTAAGTACTGTGTTAAATATAATTTTAGGTTATAAAAAATTGTTAAAATAGAAACTATGCTATGTAAGATGCTTTGTTTAACAGAAAGGACTTGCAGTGAGATAGCAGCCACAGGACACCTGAATCTTTCAGAGAAAGAGAATTTATTGCTGTCTTATTGGAAGAAACAAACTTCTTCCCACCTCAAAGGCGCTGTTAGGATTAGAGGGAAGAAGTTGATGAAGACCAGACGGAATCCTGTGTTTGAATGGAATTTGTGCATCATGGATGAAGTGTATGAATATGCAACGGGCTATTGTTCTTAAGGGTTAATCCTTTGTTAATGGCTGTCCTTTTTCGGGCTTGTGCTGCCCAGAGAAAAAGGTACCTGGCTTGTCTGTAACTCCTTGTTTTTATTGTCTTATATTGTCCTCATTCAATTTGTCCAAATTGTTGTTACTCTAATTGCGTTACTATTCTTTTCAACCATTTTATTACTGTTAAACTTTTAAAAATTTTAAAAACAAGCGACTGGCGTTTTTGACACCCAGTGTGTGCTGTGGGAACCTGGTGACCCCACCCAGGCAGAAATTTCGGGTAGGAAAGAGGAACCCCTGGCTCTGCTGTGAGCACAGTATTCCTGCTTGCTGTCAGCTCAAAACAAACCAGAAGTGACACTTGAGGCTGAGGTTTCCAAGAGCACTTGGCACTGCCTCCTGCCTGAAGGGGTTGCAGGTATGAAGAGCTGCCTGCAGTGCTGGGGTGGCAGTGCTTTTCCAGCTCCTGCAGGCTCTCCTGCCAGTGTTTATCAGCTGATAAACACTGCTCTCTCAGGGCAGTGTTTATCAGCTCGGGATCCTTTGCATCCTCAGCCCGGAATCTTTCCTTGCTTCATTAATTTCTGGAGGCAGCCTTGAGTTAACCCATCACCTAACCAACTCTTTCAAGCACGTTTTCTCTGTAGCAACATTGGCTTTTTGTGAAAAATGGGTATTTTCTGGTTGGCTTTTCACAAATATTCGAATGAATGTTATACGTGTTATGTTAGAAAGTAACGCTGTATTCATTTTCTTAAGTAGTGTGTTAAACATAGTTTTAGGTTATAACATAATGTTAAAATAGAAACTGTGCTAGGTAAGATACTTTTTTTTAAAGAAAGGACTGACACCAGATGATAGCAGCCACAGGACACCCAAATCTTTCAGAGAAAGAGAATTTATTGCTCCATTATCGAGTTCTTCCCGCCTCACTCAGCCCTGAAGACTCAGTCAGGATTCAGAGGAAGAAGCTGACACTGCCCAGACAGAATCCTGGGTTTGAATGGAATTTATGCATCATGGATGAGGTGCATGAATATGCAACAGGCTGTTGCTTTTAAGGGTTAATCCTCTGTTAACGTGGGGCCTTTTTTGGGCTTATTTTGCCCAGAAAAGGTACCTGGACTGCTCATAACTCTTTGTTTTTATTGTCTCATATTGCCCTAATATAAATTCTCCAAATTATTATTATTCTAATTATATCACTATTTTTATAACCATTTTATTACTACTAAACTTTTAAAATTTTAAAAACAAGTGATTGGCGTTTTTCACACTTTTAAAGAAATCAATGCCTGTAGTCCTGCATGTAATGTCTGCTCCTCTTCCCTGCAGGTAATCCCTCTCACTTCCTACTCAGAAACTGAAAATGCTCACTTGTACACATCTTCCAGAGTGCATTGCAAAGCACTTCCAGGTGCTTCTTCCAAGTCTTGCACCTCATGAAGCAGCTCAGGGACCTTCCACTTTCTGTGCAGAGTTCAGGAGGGCTGCTCATTCGACATTCGACAGCTGATAGTGTTCTTTTTTATTTTTTATTAATATGCTGTCTGAAATCCCTGCAAAATTTGAAGAACAGGAGCAAAAACCTCCCCACATTTCACTGAGAGTGCACCAAAGTGGTTTTATCAGTTACAGAAAGTAGAACGGAAGCAAGTGCTCATAAAAAGGGCTGCACTTATTGACCCTGCAGTTGGGAGGCTGTAACCTCTCTTGGCTGGCTTTGAAGGCATTCAAGGTGCTCAGGTTTCTTAGGAACCTTCTTGTGACCCATCTGCCTTGGTTCCTGATCAGTTGCTCAGGTGATAATCGAGGAGCAGCCACCCTTTGGCCAACATTTCATCGTATGAGCCAGGAGGGATTTGCATCCACACCCACTCCTTTTATTCCCGTGCTGGTTGAGCATTGACAAGGTTATCATCCTGGAGCCTGGCCAGCCTTTAGTGTGTGCTGTCAGCCTTTGGGCTTGGAAACTGCAGCAATTTTTGGCACAGGCTGGCTCCAGAGTCCTCAGGGAAGCCACATTTTGGTAAAACCTGCCTCAGCAGTCAGTGGTTTTGGGGTTACACCAGAGAAAGGAGATAAACCCGAGAGCAGGGGGTTTGGGTTTGGCTGGTTTCACTGCTGTTTTTATTGTGGGCAGGATTATGGTTACAGTGCTGAGTCACCAGCCCCAGGTCTGAGCAAAGGGTGAGAGATGCAAACAAAGCATGTGGGTCTGCAAGGTCAGGAAGGGAGATTGAAGGGGTTTTGTGCTTTGGAAACACAATTCAAGGTAATAATGTAGGCAGTGCAGGCTTTAATTGTGTTGCAAGTTGGGCTCTGCTGCTGGAGGAAGAACCTTTGTCCAGGAGGACCAGGAGCATCCACCTGGGCTGGAGCAAAGTGCAGCTCCCTCAGCCCGAGCTGGGCTGGGAGGAAGCACCAAAATTGCCTCAGGAAGCACTGAAAAGCTTTGGGGCTTTCTGACATTGGTGCAGGGTTCACTGCTTTCTGCAGAGCTCCCAAAGCCCTGGAGCAAATGCTCTGCAGGCCATGGCTCTTGGTGTCCTGTCCAGGACAGCCCCTGGCCATGAGTGAGGAATGTGGAAGTTACTGGTGCTTAATATTGTGAAAAATGCCAATCACTTGTTTTTTAAAGTTTTAAAAGTTTAATGATAATGAAATGGTTATAAAAATAGCAATATATTTAGAGTAATAAAAATGTTGACAATTGGGATGAGGACAATATGAGACAATAAAAACAAAGAGTTATGAGCAGTCCAGGTACCTCTTTCTGGGCAAAATAAGCCCAAAAAAGGCCCCACGTTAACAGAGGATTAACCCTTAAAAGCAACAGCCTGTTGCATATTCATACACCTCATCCATGATGCATAAATTCCATTCAAACACAGGATTCTGTCTGGGCAGTGTCAGCTTCTTCCTCTGCATCCTGACTGAGTCTTCAGGGCTGAGCGACGCAGGAAGAACTTGATAATGGAGCAATAAATTCTCTTTCTCTGAAAGATTTGGGTGTCCTGTGGCTGCTATCTGGTGCAAGTCCTCGCTTCAAAAAAAAAAGTATCTTACCTAGCATGGTTTCTATTTTAACCTTATGTTATAACGTAAAACTATATTTAACACACTACTTAAGAAAATTAATACAGCATTACTTTCTAACACAACACATATAGTATTAATTTGAATTTTTGCAAAAAAACCAGTCATAAAATACACATTTTTCACAATATGAACAAAACCACTGCCAGTTGTGCTGTTGGATGGTCCCAGGAGCAGATGCTGTAGTGAAAAATCTGCCAGGCTCTTTGTTGGCAACTGCAGCCCTGTGCTGCACTGGGCTCAGGGGCAGAGAACCCAATCCTGATGCACCCTTAGGCAGCCCATAAAATCTTAATTTAACCACCATTTGCTGCCTAACTATAACTATGTCCAGAAATCTTGCCATTTGTATAGACCAAGTCTGTGATTCAGGTAAAGAAAGGGATTGCCCAGTTCTGGTCATGCAGTTTCAAAACAGGAACCTGTTTTGATAGACTGACTCATTTCTGAGGGAAAACAACAGGAAAACAGACACTCCTTTACTCAGCTTCCCCGTCCAGCAGGATGTGCCCTGAAATTTTATGGGCAGGAATCACCACAAACGACAAGGTAAGGTATTAAAAAATCAAACCAGAGCAGTGAATTGAATTAAATAGTCAAACAAGGAAGATGCCTGAGTGACAAGAACATGCTCGGATGTGAATGACACCCCTGAGACATGGGGACCATGTGACACACACTAATTCCCAGCAGCTCCATGTGATGGGATTTCCAGCTGCATGCCACTGCTGAGCGTCAGGGATGTTTGCACATCTCCCTGAAAATCGAGGCTGTCGATATTTCAGAGGATGACCGCTCCAGGACATTGTATTCCTGTCAGAAGCATTAGAGGTGAAGAGCTGTTCTGTTGCTGGGAGTGTCCTGGGCTGGATTGTTTTCCAGAAGCAAGATGTAGTAGCGCTGCAGGCAATAGCAATAGCACTTTTTATAACAGAATTCTCCAGGGATATTTTTTTAGCCTTTAGAAACGAGACTTTGGTGCATTTTGTGACCCAAAGAAATGTGTGACAATGTTTACACAGCTCTCACAGGCAGCTCAGAGGTTTCCCAGTCTCTTTGCTGGGTGACTTAGGGATAAACGCTGCCCCACTTCATCTCCCCTGACAGCAGACACTGATCTCAATGCCATCTGTCTCTTCTCGGGCCAGCCTCAAACAACCCACTCTGTGACAGCGTCTGCCGCTCTGAATGGGGCTGTTCTCCCCGGGGGAAAATAGCCCTTTGTGGGACAGGAGAGCAGCACGGCGGCTTGGAAAGGGCTGATTGCATCTCGGGGGCAGGGATGGAATTCACAGTTCATGATCCAGCTCGGAGCTGCTGGGGATGGACACAGGCACAGCCCATGGCCAGTGCACTGTGCTGTTGTTATGGGCAGGACCCGGCTGTCACAGACATCTTCTATGGAAAATCCTTTCCTTAGGGTTTTTCCTCCTGAGAAGCTGAGAGGCCTCGGGAACAAAATGTAAACAATGGTTATCTGCTGCTGTGGAATGCAACAGGTGCATCTGTGATTGGGCTCATGTGGTTGTTTCTAATGAATGGCCAATCACAGCCAGCTGGCTCGGGCTCTCTGTCGGAGACACAAACCTTTGTTATCATTCCATTCCTTCTCTGTTCTTAGCTAGCCTTCTGATGAAATCCTTTCTTCTATTCTTTTAGTATAGTTTAATATAATATATATATAATAAAATAATAAATCAAGCCTTCTGAACCATGGAGTCAGATCCTCATCTCTTCCCTCATCCTGGGACCCCTGTGAACACCATCACACCCGATCCTCCCTGCGTGTGCAATGGCCTGGGTGACACGGAGGGAGGGAAATGGCCCAGAACGCTTCCTCATGCTGGTGAAGGGATTCTGCTGATGGACCCTGATGCAGGGATTCTGCTCTGCCAGTTTTGGGATGCTCCACCAAGAACCTTCCCACGGGCGGATTTTTGTCCCGGCTGTTTCAATGGCCATGGCAGAGCTCTGGGGATGCGGGCAGCGCTGCCAGATTGCTGTGGGAGCAGCCGGATCTGATTCTCCTGCGGGG